ATCGAACTCTTCGTCGGGGTGGGTGCCTCGCGCGTGCGCGACATCTTTAAGCAGGCCAAGGAGAAGGCGCCCTGCATCGTCTTCATTGATGAGATTGATGCCATCGGAAGACAGCGCGGAGCCGGCATGGGCGGTGGCAATGACGAGCGAGAGCAGACGCTGAATCAGATCCTCACGGAGATGGACGGCTTCGAAGGCAACAGCGGCGTGATTGTCGTCGCGGCCACCAACAGGTCGGACATCCTCGACAACGCCCTGCTGCGCCCTGGACGCTTCGACCGACGGGTGCAGGTCGGCCTGCCAGATGTCAAGGGACGGGCCCAGATTTTGGAGGTCCACGTCAAGAACAAGAAGTTGGATGGAGAGATCACGCTCATGGACATTGCCAAGCGCACTGCAGGATTCTCCGGCGCTGATCTCGAGAACCTCATGAACGAGTCGGCCATCCTGGCTGCTCGCCGCAACAAGAAGGCCATCAGCATGGATGAAATCAACGATGCGACGGATCGGGTCATCGCCGGATTGGAGGGCCGAGCCTTGCAGGACAATGCAGCGAAGAAGCTCATCGCTTACCACGAAGCAGGACATGCTATCGTTGGCACACTGCTGCCGTATCATGACCCTGTCAACAAGGTGACCCTGATCCCTCGCGGGCAGGCAAAGGGTCTCACGTGGTTCACGCCCGGAGAGGATCAGAGTCTCATCTCGGCCGCCATGCTCAAGGCGCGCATCGCCGGCGCCCTCGGTGGCCGCGCCGCAGAGCAGCTGGTCTTTGGCACGAGCCAGGTCACGACAGGCGCGGGCGGCGATCTGCAACAGGTCGAGCGCATGGCTCGTGCCATGGTCACGCAGTTCGGCATGTCGGAGGTCGGTTCTCTGGCCATCGATGACGGCGGCTTTATGGGCCCGGACTACTCAGAGGAGCTGAGCTCGAAGATTGACAATGCTATCAAGGACATCTCGGATGATTGCTATTTGAATGCGCTGAACATCCTGATGACCAACCGGGCTTGCCTGGACCGGGTGGCCGATGAGCTCACCGAGACGGAGACCATGACCGGCGACCGCCTTCGGGAGCTCATTGCCGAGTACGTGGAGATTCCCAGCAAGCTTGCTGCCGTGTGAGCGGGCAGAGGGCTTGACGTCTGTAGCACTTGTGCTTTATGCGAGATCTATTTCTGAGTGGATCTAACCGAGAGGTTTGTGTACCAGGCATGGATTCATAAGCAAGTACTTTTGAGGAACAAGGCAGCTCCTAACAAATAGGTCACGCATGAGTCCGAAACAAAACTCCGCCCGGACATTGGCAGAACCTGTGGGCGACCGCGCTCTGGAAACTGGAAGGAGTTCAGCTTGTAATCCGTCTGCAGGCCACAAATCGATTTCTTTGAACACGCGGTTCTTTTTCTTGACCTTGGCACAAGCTCACGGCAAGTGTCAGTGTCCCTGTTACAGAAGCCAAAAATACGTACACAGTTACTCTTGAGGTTCTTATAAGGATACTGTCGCATGTCTGAAAGTCTTCAGCTTACGCAGGAACGCAGAAGAGCTTGTGTTTGGATTTGAGTACAGCCGACAAGGTCTCAATTCTTAGATGAGCCGCACTTACGAACATTTTCGGCAAAGGGACCACCGACCACAAAGCTTTCCGCTTTCACCAAGAGCTTCAAGGACTGTCGAATCCCAAGTTTACGTAGGGGCTTCGGCCTGCCAAGTGGTCGTCGGTGTGCCCGGCTGCCTGAGTACCTTCGACGTCGATTCCTGGAGGAAAGATGCAGGAATCTGTAGACTTCCATAGACTCTGTGGAACCTCAGATGGATTTTAACCCCGAAACCGGGACTCGATAGTGCAAAACTGTAACTACCTTTCTGAGCGCCTGACCACTGACTTTGGGGGCCTATTCTGCAGCTTACGGGTGTTGTTTCTTTTAGCTGTGTGCTTTGTTCAGTCGTGGGCAGAGGCTCAGGTGCCTGTATCACGCCGACTCAGACCTATTGAACCTCGCCTGGCTTGTCCGAAATCGTGAGTTCACCACCTGGCTAAAGAGTCCCGGCACCCAATCTTGGAGTTGGACAGTTCGCACCGATAGGTTCGAGCGGATGGCGTGCCCATTGACGACCCAGAGGACAGCTTGCTTTCTGGACATACCGGATGCGCAAGCTCCAGGCTGCAGTGTTTGGCGAGCCCAGATTGACAAATGTTGAAATCGGGGTGACATGACTGAACGGGTGACATGGTTACGTCAAGAACTTGTGAAAGAGGTGAACATACCTGCCGGTAAGTCATGTAACCCAAAGTCTGCTCCATCAGTGATATGGGAGAACCCGAGAACCCCAGGGAGTAACATATCTTGAGGGGGGTGGGGGGGGGGGGGCAAGTTGCGAACATGTCATGGTTATGGAAGGCTCCGGGTGGCCACCCCTAAACCATGGTACCGACCTGTGCATGAGAAGCCGAGCAGTCGTTCCCGCTTCTTCGCAGGAGTTCCAGCTCCGACGGGAAGATGTGGTGCAGATGGGTGTTTCCTTCCGCACCGAGGGCGTTCCCGTGCAGTACAGAGGCCCTGGAAAACTCTTTCAACATGGTGCCTTGCATTGCGACCAGAGAATTGCGGCCTGAGCAGTTAGTGGCAGTAGCAGCAAAGCGGCAGGAAGTTGTCGGTGTCGAGGTAGTAGCAGCAGCAGCAGTAGCAGCACTACCAGCAGCAGCAGCAGCAGTAGTGTAGCTAATGGGAGGAGGAGGAGCTGCAGCAGCAGCAGCAGCACTGACTGGTAGTAGTGCGGGTGCTCGTAGCAGAAGCAGTCGCAGTCGTGGAAGCCCGAGGACTAGGAGAAGGCAGCAGAAGCGGCAGTACTCCGAGTAGCAGCGCCAATCATGCGTGGCAGATTGGCGATTTGGACTGCCAATACAAATCAAGTCAAGTCGCGCCTCTCGGTTCGAGGGCAGCCTGTTAAGGGCACAGGGGAAGATGGGAAAAGAAACTGCAAGATGCTGCAAAAAATGTAGAAGCGCTGGGTAGTGTGACAGGCCATGGCAAGCACTTCTATACCCAGCATCTACCCTTCTGATGGGAGAGAAGCGATTCCATCCACATAGCTGCATCCCAAAACGATTTTCTGCAGCAGCTGTTTTCCAATGAGCTAGGTGCTAGACTCAGTTTTATGTCAACTTATGATCAGTCATGTCAACTTATGATCAGTCATGTCTCGATGGTCCCTGGCAGAATCGTCTTCTCAGCAGCTCAGCCTCCCCTGTAATGGTTTTTCGTGTTAGTCGTCGGCAACCCTGCAGAGAACATGAGTGCTAACCACGCGGAGAACACATACAGCTCGAACGAAGAGGAGGTGACAACAACATTGTGACACGGCCGACTAAAACTTGTGCTGTGGTGATGGTGGTGATGAACGTCAGAGTTAGGTCTGACCTGACTCGGAAGCCCGAAGGCAGAGGGTGGCAAATGCGAAATTGCTACTCTACATTGCATCAGTCCTCGCAGTTGGCAAAAGCTAAGAAATCGTCAGTCTTCCGTTTGCAATTTGTGTCGTTCCGCAGGTGACCGCATGAATTATTTCTCATTGCAGATCGAGGTGCACCTTGGGAGACTGTTATGCTGGTCGGCTGTGGAAGCAGACTGTTCGAAGTTGCTGTGGATGCAAGTAATAGTCGTGCAGGGCATCAGAGCCTTCCGCCTCCAGAAAGAGCCGCAGGCCTACGGACGCTGGGCGAGAGCTTTCTCTGCTCAGAGTAATACAATACGGATTAAGAGCGAGGGTTCAGAAGGCTGTAGGCAGCAACGCCACTGCAGATTTCCATGTGCCGCAGCAGTGATTTCCTGCACCGGCGTGGCAAGTTTAAACTGGTTCCAGTGTTGGAGGTGGTGTATGCCGGCCGGCTGGATGATGTAGCGCCGACAGTGCAAGAGGCCCGTGGTCGGAAGCTAAAGTTGGCTAGCTGCACTCGCAGGTTGAAATGACTTGCTTTTGATAAACCTTTCTGATTGAAAGCTTTCATAGGGAGGGCACTGAGAGGGAACATGCTCCCGGCTGCATGTGTCATCAGGCAGATGCAGACCAGGTTTTTGCTGATCCAGAAGACAGGCCAGGCATCCAGATCTTCTGCAACGTGCTAGCTTATTGTTTCCAGCAGACAGGACGCCCGCATGTTATTGGCATAAGTATCCACGCTTGGTTGAGGCCCAGAGAGGGCCCGTACAACGGCCTTTGGACGCGGCCAAAGACGGGTGCCGAGGCCTTTTTGTCGTGTCGCGCCGTTTATACTCAGAAGTTGATCTCGATCTTGCAGCACACCCTCTGCGACGCATGTTCCTACGTTGTGTCACTGCATGTCCCGTTCAGGCCGTGATTGGCAGTGGCTTGGCCTTCAGCCTCCTGCGAGTCAACGGCTTCAACGACCATCCAGGTGGCAAGTTCCCAGCACCTGAACTTGAATTGGAACAGCTTAGGTGGGCAACCTTTGGCTGATGATGTTTCGCGACACTACTTCCTAAGCAAGTCAATCCTCTGTGCATGTGTCGATGCCTGCCGGCTCGTACAACACATGCATCCCCTTGAATCCGCATATAGTTACACGTACACATGTGGGCGTTCGGGTGCATGCAAACGTGTGTGCAAACGTGCACCCTGCGAGCAATGGGCAGATGTGTGTAACGTGTACAAACAATCGTTGCTTGCTGGTTTGCTGTGCCTGTGGTTCATGCCATGTAATCATGCTGATCGCGTCACTGGTGAGATTTCCGCGAAAAAGATACTCACGTCCTTTGCTGTTTGTGACTCAGACTCACACATCGCAGAGATTGAGAAATACTGCTTCTGAGCTGAGGTGGTGCTTAACCAGGCTCCGCTGCATAGGCCGGAAACCGGTCGGTCTGACAGTTGGTTCACAACACAGGAGAACGTCGTGTGTGCATGGAGTGATATGACATGTATGATGCGAGCAGCAGCTTTGGAAAGAAATGTCAACAAGTGTTGTCATGTGAGCATGCATGTCTGCAGTATCTGAACTGTGATCCCGTCCATGCGCCGGGTGGGCAGGCCGCATCTATCCTTCCATTCTGAGCTGCTCGGCATCGGTTCAGAACTTGACCTGGTGCTTTCACGCAAGAAGTGTCATTATCAATCGGGCATGAGGAAAGAAACTCGCGGCCAGAAATCCATGCTTTCAGCAGAAGTTCCCGATTTCAGGACTGTCCGGTCCATCTCTCGCGGAGATGTGGCTGCGCTGCTGGTTTCTGCCATGTCAGAGCCGAACTGCGTGAACACAGAGATCATTGCAGGCATCTGCGGAACCAGTACATGTAGCAAATTTAACACATCACAAAGCCGCAGCAGCCCTTGCATGCCCTTGCTGCAGCTGTGTTGTGCTTCTCGAGAACAGCCGTCTTGCTCCACATGATCGATCTTTTCGATTGACGCGAACATTGCAAGCAGTTTGTCATATCAGAGAATACTGCAGTATGTCATGTTTGTCGACATGGTTACCGGCACTGCGCATGCTGGATCTTCATGCGTAGTGTACAGAACGCACATTGTTCGAAGACAAACCCACACTCGCACTCTCGCAGATAAATGCAGGCCAGCATATATGTACGAGTATGTACATATGCATGTATGCATGCATGGGTATAGATCCAGAAGTGTCTGTATGTATCACAGAGAATGTAACCATGTGAGCATGTGCGTTCGTTCACGCGTACAAGGTCATACTGAGACTCCTTCACATGTAGCCAAGCTGCACAGACAGATTCGGATGCATTCCGACATGCATACGTCACATGCAGAGAGGCGGACGGACAGACAGACAGACATGCTTGCACATACAACATGTATGCATACATACATGCATACTTACATACGCACATGCTTCCTGTCCTTCCCACCCGCATGTATACCTTCCTTCATTCATTCCTTTCTTTCTTCCTTCGTTGGTTTGTTCGTTCATTCCCTTCCTTCCTTCCTTCCTTCCTTCAGTCCTTCCTTCGTTCATTCATTCATTCATTCACTCACTCACTCAATCATTCATTCATCCATTCATCCATCATGCACCCAGTCATCCATTCATCCATTCATCCATTCACCAATTCATCCATTCATCCATTCATCCATACATCCATCCATCCATCCATGCATCCATCCATGCATCCATCCATTCATCCATTCATCTATTCATCCATGCATCCATTCATCCATTCATCCGTTCCATCCCATTCCATCCCATCACATCCCACCCCATCACCATCCATCCATCCATGCATGCATGCATCCATCCATCCATTCATTCATTCATCCATGTGTTCATTAATACATACACTCGCACATATACTCATACATACGTTGCTTCTAACAACACACTATTCTGCTGACATTCTGGCAGCTTTTGCACACTGTTCTGTATTCCACCATTCTCCGCTGTAGTATGCCGTGCTTGCATTCCGTGGCTTTTTACCATCTTACAAAGGGAGGTGGGTCATGTTCTTGCTCTACACCCTGCCATCTGTCCTTTATGGTGCCTCTACTGTTCACCACACTGTCCCCCCCAATCTACAGAGTCAAGAATAATGGGTTGCGCATTTGGCTTTTGCCGTCAACAGGTTGTTGTTCGCGTCGTCTTGTGGCCTGTTGTTCTCTACTGCTGACTACTGTCTCTGTCTTCATCTTTTCTCGTTTGAAGGTCTTGCTTGCTCTTATGGATTAGACCTAGTATATATTTCTACTCTTTCATGTGTTTTTGCCATCCAGAAGTGATGGTTTATGTCGATCGCAGGCGAGGCGCCGGAGGGCGCCGAGGAGTCCAGCGCCTCACAGGTGGAGATCACTTCGACACTCCAGGACTAAGAGCGGGACTTTTTTATATTTGGAAGAGACCGTCTCTGAATGCAGTCCTGCTGCATACAAGACTGAAGTTTGAAGTGTCGTGGCTAGTTGCTTCTTATGGTTTTCATGTTCATGTTCCCATTTTCTTCGCAACAGTACGTCTGTCAGCTTCCTCGGCTAAGAGTTGTGCGGGGTGCCGAAATCAGCATGCAGGCATATGCGGGAAAGAGCTGCCAATCATTGATTGCTCACCGGGCTCACCGGACGCACCGTGGGACCTCTTCTTGCGACGGTTGAAGAAGTGTGTATGTTTGTATGAACAAAACAGGGTAAACATAAACATGTACATGTAGCTGTAGAAGGGCACAAACGCATATGCTCACACATGCACGCATTCATGCAAACGTGTGCATGTCTTGACAAAGCAAGACTGCTGCGAGCCATACGGTATTTAGCGCGAGTCAATACCCTTGAGTAGCGTGTCATGAAAGGTTTCATTCCTGGCCTGTTCCCGGAACTGTTCGATATGTCAGCGCTAACCCCACCTGCATGCTCGCAGGAAGATGTGAGAGGCACCTTTACTGAACGAAGATTTCCTTTCAAGGACGAGTTGCTTGTTTCGCTTGCTTTTACAGTTGCCGTGCCCAGTGTGTTTGCAATTCAAGATGGGTTGTTGGATTGCGGCGCTCCTTCGGATCGACTTTGGATTTATGAATAAGATCCACAACCAGGCAGTATGGAACCTTAATCCGCCTTCGGCCAAGCTCAGTGGAAGGCGGCTCCCACCGTTGTGAATTCCCGCTCAGGCTACTTGAAGCAGCTTACACCAAATAGATGAGCGAGGCACGCTGCCTGTTCCACCTTCGCACAGAGTGCTACAAATCCTTGCCTCAGGCATTTCTTCCGTGGACCACGCGGGATTGCTTGATTACAGGTGGCTTCACGGCTGTAGGGCTTAGCTACAGACTGCATGCTGCAGATCCAGGCGCAGACAGCCATAACCTGTGTGTGTGTGTGTAACAACGACGGCTAGGTCCACCTCGAGAATCTAGACTATCACCAATTGCGTCCGGCACAGTTGCTGGCACAGCAACAGATGTCAGCTTGCGTTTGGCAACCCGGGCAACAAGACGCACTAGCTCAACGATCTGCTTAAACAGTCTTGTGGACCCTTGTGTGCTTGTCGCACCACTGTGTTTTTTTTGAAATCTTCCGTAGACGAGAGACAGCAAAGTTGCATAGCAAGCTGACATCGGGGGTCTGCCGGAACCTTTCCTGCGACAATGTACAAAATGGGAGTTTTCGATTCAGATAAAAAAACCAGAGGTTGCAAGGGCGCCGTGGAGATATATCGAAAAACTTGAGATCCTGACAAGGATTATCCTTGAAGTCTTCTGTGCTCGAAGCCGCGCCGCAGTTCTCCTCGAGCCGTTTGTGGGCCTTCCTTGCCAAGGGCAAAGCGGAGGCACCAGAGACTTTTCAGCTTGCGGTCCCCAGCACGTCGCGTGAACTCAGAGCTTGGTACACAAGTGCCGGGGTCCGGAAAGCGTCTGTATAGCTCCTGAGGAGACTTGCAGAGCTTTGCTTCCAGGTTGTGCTCCTTTGGAGGTTCATCCCACTCCCTTTCTCCGCTAGCGCTTCAGCGCTTGCGATCTCTCCGATTTTCTGTGCTGCTTCAGCATTCGAAGGCCGTGAGGCTGATGAGCGGGCCTTAGGGATCTAGCTTGGATCGACTGCGCTTGCATTTCTGGATTTTCCACAAGATTTTCTTGTCGGTTACCTGAGAAAAGGCGCATCCAGGCAGTTGCGTGGCCTGTTTTGGTGGAATCTCCGAGTGCTAACGTTGAGGCGCACGAGATCATAGCCACTCCAAGCACCCCAGGCTCAACGGGGACGTGTGCTTCTCGATCTTGCGTCAGTGGTCGGCTCAGCTGATGCGATGATTAACACACTGGGCAAGCAGTTTTCCGTGAGCTGACGAGGTACAAGATGTTCAACGTGGACATCATCGTGCCCTTCACCCAGAGTCCCAGGGTTTCAAGCCGAGTTGGATGGCCAAGAACCGGCACCAGGGGTAGGTGTTTCACCACGCGAGCTCGGATCCTGTGCAGCTTTCCAGTTCTTCAAGGAATGAAGATGCAACGATTGACGACTTCATCGACGTGCTGGAGGAGGTCGGACCCCGATTGCATGTGATTCGTTTTAAGCCTGAGCAAGGCTTGCTAAAGTCTTAGTATCGGCAGATTGTCGAATAAGTCGAAAATGAGCAGCAGAAGGTCTGCGATGTCGGATCTGGCTTTTGGTACCCCTCATGGTACCCCTCATCCTTCGACTCCTGCATGCAAATCTTCCGAATGCCAGACCGGCACAGCGCCACGGCAGTACTGCAAGTGCCTCTACGCTGCCTGGCCGCAAATAGGGCCCATAACCGTCAGGTTTGCCCAAAGCCACAGTCAACGACACGATCAACAGAACAATTCCCTGTCCCAAAGTGTTGTTGCAGGTCTACAACAAGATCGACATGCTGAACATCAGCCGCTAGCCGTGTCTCTGGTTGAAGGCTTCTTACGACGCAATTCAGGCCAATGGGGTGGAGCTATGAGCGAGCACTGGAGCCTCAACCCAACCCTCTGGTTGGCGGTGGTTGGGGTCACTCGCTAAACAGAGGCCTCCGCAGAAGATCTACAGGTAGCCACGGTTTCCATAAGTTTGCCCGGTGCTTCAGGCATCAAAAGCGTCATGCGAACATCATCGAGCCTCATGCAGTCCTCATGCTTCATCTCTGCAAAGTGTAGAGCACTTTGCAGTGCCTCATGAAGCATTGCTAGCCGGCTGGCCGTCGCGACTCGCGCCCGCCCAAGGTCAGGTCGAGGAGTTGGCGAGGCAGCCCTACTCCGTGGTCATCTCCGTCAGCAAGGGGTTGCCGGACTTAGATTGAAATGTTTGTTCCAGCTCGGCTGCGAGAGATTCTTTCAGGTCACGGCCACAAGAAGACACGAGAGGAGTGCCCTACGAAAGAAAGACAGACCGCGGCAAAGGCTGTTTCAGTCATGTCGCTAAGGTTGAATTTGGATGGCTTGCTGGAAAGAATCTGGCAGGCATCTGTTCCTGCCCTGATGCTCCTGTACGACGCGTAGAGTCGGTGGATGCATAAGTATTGGTGCATGGGCATACGAGGAGCTGGACTTGCGCCGAATCTACACCAAGAAGAAGGCACCGGAGAACTAAATCATCCTCGGGATGGGGATAACGTCGGCAGGTGTTGTTCAGTGTCGCGGGAGTGCTGGCATCTTCACCAGCCTATGAGGCAGAATGGACCCTAGGCCCTGGGCACCAGCGCGAATAGAACGAACTCTGTCGCCGCACTCATGCATGGAGCATGGCACCCTCCGTGGCATCCAGTGGATGCTGAGAGAATCGGGCTCGTGAGAGTAGCAGAAGAAGGCACGGAAATGGCTGGTACAGATGTCGTAGTGTAATTCGTCCATGTTCGATCGACATGAACAGGGTTGCAGCCGCTTGTCCTCCTCTTGTTGCATCGCCTGCAGGGCCTTTTCCCCGATTTCACAGAGCCGTCCTAGCCTTACTGCAGTCTGTCCGAAGCAAGGGCCGGCCTAATGTGGACAATTCTTGAGACTCTGTAAAGTTCAATAGTCAAATTCGCGGTGTTTGCCAAGGATAGTTTTGACTTGCCAGCGCGGCAATAAGACAATGTCGGTCGAGAACGCCGTCGGCCTGCTTCACAAGACGCTTGACATTCCTTTCCTGTATGTTCCTATGTTGTCGAATCTTGTCCATGCGTGTCCATGCATGCATTTTTTTGCGTGGCTCCGACGACTTCTGACAGAGTCCTCTCTGTTCTCGGTTGGGCGGACAGGCTTTGCTTGTCGGAATCCTTGGCAGAGCAGGATGATGCCAAGCATTCGTAGGTGTGCTTCTGACACTGAGAGTTGAGGAGTTTGCTGGACGAGTTCAAGCATGGCCCCAAGCTGTATAAGCTGTCTTCTCGCCTCATCGTTGATTGCCGGCTTGCCAATGCCGCTTCCAAGTTCACAGCACCCGTTTCGTGGATTCGCAGTGCTGCAGCTGCAGGTCAGCGCTGGTTTGGGGCTCCAGCGTCCGTGCATCCCCGCAAGTGTGCGGTTGGCTCCCGAGAGAGAACACGTCGAACTCCAAGGTTCTTAAGATGCCATCCTTCATACGAGGCCTGAAGCACGAGCTCCAGGACGAGGATGTAATGCAAATCACGAAGCTTACCGCAGCCAGCTGCTTAAACTATCAGCTCTAGAGCCTTGGCTTTTGCCTGAGAGACCCAAAGGCTGAGAAGCAGAAGAAAATGCCGGGCACTGAGTTGACGCACTGTCCCGACTGTCTCCGGATAAGTTTGACAGCTTGTGGGCCATGCCGCATCGCATGTTCTGTGGAGGCACGGGAAGAAGACAGGCACCACTTTGGCCGGAGGGAACACACAGGTGGACCCCACCGGCAAGAAGGCGCAGATTCCTTCTGGAGTGGCAAGAACATTTCATGGAAATGAACAAGTTGGAAGAGTGAACGTGGGTTACAGTAGCACCCTAATCGCTGCTTGTGATCCTTGTATTAGGAGAAGGAAAAGAAAGCTCCGCTCAAGACGTGAGTCGGTCACCGCAAAGCCAGCCCGATCTTCTTACGTGCTGCCTTTGGATGACCATTGTGAGTCTGTGCCTGTTGCAGCGAATCGCGCATATGGCGGCGGTTTTGCCAGCCACGCCTTACGGCCCAGTATGTGGTTGAGCCCATTGGTAGTTCGGTGAGAAGAAACTTAGGGCAGCCACATACTGCCGCCACAGCAAACGCACCGGAGTCCCACACGTTGAGCTGAGCCTCCGCAGGACTCTTTCCTTTCCTTCCATGCTGAACTGTCGGAGAAGCCTGCGAGCTTCTTCTTTCGGTCAGAGTACCCGAAAACAAAAATCGCGTCAGCTTGAGCCAGTTTCTTGCAGAAGCAAGAAACCGTGATATAGTGAGGCATCGCTTCTCTGTCTTGTGCAGCAATGGTCCGAAAGGCCATTTTACTACATGACCGTCGCTTAGCTGGTCTATCCAAAAAGGTGAAGAGCCAGGGCAACATCAGTTGGCGCAGGATGAACCGCAGTCTAGTGTCGTGTTTGTGGCGGTAACATAGCATATTTTGAGAGCACTGCGAGTTCGGCTATCATAGTAAGTCCATTAGAAAATCACGAGTTAACCGGTAAGTTATGTAGACACCCACGAGTTTGTCAACCAACTAGCGAAGTAGGTCTAAGCACGAAAGTCCAAATAAAGGGGCATGTGTTTAAGTAAGCAAGCTAGCGGAGGAGTTCGATAGCTCGCGAACGAGACGAAGAAACAAGTCAGTAGATAACTTGATCAACAAACAAGTACGGGAAGAAGGCGCAAGCTCACACAGAGTCTCCCCTGCCCCCACGCACACACACACACACATATGCAAAGGATCGTGTATGTGCTACGGTTATGTGGGTGGGTGGCTAAGCACGATCCAGAGATCACAGCCAGCATAATGCTCTCACAGTATTGCAACAGTCGATCTGGTTGCCAGTGCAGGTACCGGTATGTGTACATTACCTAGATGTGTTTTATGTATGGGTTGAGTTTTGCCAAACGTCTAACCATCGCATTGCATTGGTTCCCATCGTATTGCATTGCTTTTGCGATAGCCTGGTCGCTGCAGCTACGGTTCTCAGTGGCATTTTGGTCCTGCCGGCTTCGCCAGGCTTTGGGGGCCATGACAAGCCATCAAGAATGGAATTATGTAGTGCAAAGGTTTATATGCAGCCGCCTGTGTCCCCTGCAGGTAGGGCAGTCGCCACAATGCGGCTCTTTGTCCGGGGCATAGCTGGTGAGACCTCCGCAGTGGAGGTGCAGCGGCCTGATAGTGAGCGGCTTCAGTCTTTCTTCCACGCAGTCTGTGCATAGACTTGCTATGCTAAACCCTGGGAACCACGTTTTCCAGCTTGTCAGTATAGCTCGGCACGAACTCCTCGTTGTGCACGCAACCGTGTTCGCATAGCAGGGCCAGTCACAGCGCTAAATATCCTCTAGAGCATGGGCCTTTGACCGCTGGTGGACCTTCGCAGAAGCTGCGACAAGACTAGGCTTGAAGACTTCGTCTGTCGCTCGGAAGGTTGCGTCTGCTGCCAGTGTAGCCGACGTCCAGCTGCAGATTCAGGAAGTCCAGGCACATGGGTGTGGTATGCTTTTCAAACAGGCTGGTCTTCAGAAGCTCCCCGGATGAAGTCAGCCAACAGACGGGGCAGGGTGTTCGGCATGTGTGATCGGGTTGCGTGTTCGTAGTCTCATTTGACAAGTCTACGACGAGTCTACGACACTCCCTGATTGGAGTTGTGAGTTGTGTTGTCAGCCGGTAAGACGTCACTGCAAACGTGTCCACGCTGACCGAGCTATTCCTTTGGTCTTGTTGAGGGTGTGCCTTGCAGCGAGCAGCGGCTGATCTTTGGAGGAAGGCGCGAAGCCCAGATTCAAGCCACGCAAGGGACAGCGTCGGCAACAAAATGCTCCCATGTGTGGATCTTGCGTGACGAAGGTCTTTGCAGTCCGAAGAGCTCCTGGCTGCCTGTGGTGTGGAAGAGGAGTCGATTGTGAGATTGTCGCTTCCACGGGAGCATCTGCACTTCGAGTGTTGTGTCCTGCCCCAGGCCGCATGTCGGTTAGATGCTGGCTAGTCCGGTGACTCCAGGAAGGTGCTTCAGCTTTTTGAAGCCTCGAGCTCACTTCTGCTCCTGTACAAAGTCGCCATGGTCCGACAGTCTGTCCGAAAGTCCCGATGTGCGGCTGGCGTTGCCGCCGCTGCTCTCAGCATGTGCTACCTGGCCGCAGCCTTTGTGATGCCTCCTGCAGAAGGCCAAGGCGCAGGCCGGCGTGAGGCCTTGTTGGGCCTCGCCGGTGCTGCCGCAACGCTCTCTGCAGAGCCTGCACAGGCAAAGGCGGGAGCAGGCGAGTGGACGGGCTATTACAGCGACCCTCAGCACCCGATGTGCCCACGAAAGATCGTGTACGAGTATGACCTCTACGAGAAGGCGCAGCTGATGGTCGATGGAGGCGATGGCAACCCCGGGTGCGAGAAGAAGGTGCTCACGAGGTGGACGGCCAAGGTCGACTGGAAGGCAGGCTCGGACGAGATTACCATCGATTTCAGCAAGAAGGGCGGGCCCAGTGACGTGGTCGGAAAGTGGGAGGGGGACGGGATCGTCTTCCCCGATGGCAACAAGTGGAAGAAACTTGGCGTTCTTCTGCTTGGCTCTTAGGACCTTCTCTTTTGGGTTTCTATCTGAACTCTAAGGAGTAGGCTAAAAGTTTAACTTTGACGAGGGGTTCAGAAGTCAGCCAAGGAAAATCATTGATTTCAACACTGGCAACGGCCAGGGGATCTGAGAAGCGGCAGTAGTTCCTCCGACCACGGGTTTTTCTCCTAGCGTAGTGGCAACATGACACGTCTCACGCGCCAGGGCTGAAGAAGCTTGTGGTTGCTGCTGCGTGCCCGTTCAGATGATCACGGCTTTTTTGCATCTCGCCACGCAGGAGTCCACCCTTTTCGTCAATCTCGATCTCGAAGGCGGCGGCAAGAAGCGCAAGAAGAAGACGTACACCAAGCCCAAGTGTCCTGGCCTTGTTATAGAGATTAACGATCAGGCAGACTCAGCCACCCGTACCGTCAATTTGTCGGCTTCAGACTAGATGCAAAGGGCATTGGAGCATGCAAGCCCTACTCGACAGGTTGTCAAGGCAGTGGCTGTTTCAGTGAATGCAATCAGGAAGATCAAGCACAAGAGGAAGAAGGTCAAGCTCGCAGTGTTGCATCTTGATGGCAGTCAGGCGCTTGCAGACACCTACCGGTCACCTACCCCGACAAGGTCGCCCAAGCCAACTTTAGAAGGGACATCTTTACAACAAGTCCGATGACTTTTTGCTGTCATTGGTTCACCGTGCCGTGGAAATCCGCATGGCTCACAACTGGCTCTGCCTCACATGCTTTCTCGTCTGCCTGTCCCGCCTGAAGCGCTAGCGGCTGTAACAAGTCCGAAGGTTCGAGCCAGTGTTGTGGGAGGTTTCACGTTGGGGCAGAGCACTTCCATAGCTCAGGGTACGTGAGATCTCTCTGGAGCAGAGAGCATTGAACTTAGGAAGTTCTACAAGGTTGACTCCAACGACAAGGCCTTGGCACACGTTGACTAGTGCTGGCCAGGGGTATGATTTCGGGGGAACTCATCGAGCTCTGAGATTTGGGATGTTTTGTTCTCTCAGTGATTTGTGATGACAGGTGACCCGCTTGCGACGCGAGTGCCCTCACGAGACCTGTGGCCCAGGAAGGGAGAGATCTGCAATAACTTGGGTCTTCATGTGCTCGAACTCCGGTTCTCTGGGTTGAGTGGCCTTGGATGAGGAGTCTTCATGGCTATGCACTTCAATCGCTACTACTGCGGTAAGTGCCACCTGACGTACCTCATCAAGAAGGATCTGCAATCTGCCACTGCGCTTGATTTGGAGAGACTGCACTGAACGGCAGCTCACGCCAGTCAGTGTCACAGCCCATGTGCACTTGCGTGGTTTGTGTCTCTCATGTTCCGACGGCATGCGCCCGGCACACCCTGCAGGAGGATAAGTGAGAAGCCGTCCTCACATTGAACATCATTGAACAGCCCCGCGGCCCATGTCGGTGCCAAAAAGGATTGAAGCTTCAACGGTCCTTGAGTCACCGCGGCCTGGGAAGGAAGTGCATGCACTTATGTAGCTGCGCTTCTCTGATGCTAGAGTGGTGAAATGTCCTGAGATGAATCTGGACACTTTTTCTGGGGAGCATCATAAGCTGTGACCCGACCACTGGTTTGTCACAGCCGTCTACAAGGATCAGACGAGGGTGCCCACCACGAGCTGGGGGGTCGGGCATCCCATCTGTCGTCCAGCTTGCCTGATTTATGGGGACAGGAACCAGCCTCGAAATCATGTCAGAAATTAATAGGATGAACACACATGCGTGTGAACATCAGGCAGAGGTAAGATCATGTAAGATCTGTAGGCATGGTTTGCATCAGCCGAACCAATTCCTGGACTGGCTTCATCGCCTTGCGTGGCGGCCTTAGCTGTGGTTGCCGTGGCCATGCAGCACCCTTCCCAGAGACTCCGTGATAATTCAGGTCTTCCAGGTCTTCATGAAGGCAAGCCAAAACATCGTCAGCCTGTCATTTGTTGGCGGTGCTGAGCTGCTTCGGATGCGAAGTTTCCTGCAGCGCTTCAGAGCTTCATGTCGATTGTCGGTGTTGCGTTTGGAGTTGTGCACCCGCCGCGATCATGTCCAGCTCGAGGGAAACTGATTTGGTGCGCATTTGCTAGGTGGGACGCACGCACTAAGGAGGTGTTGACTTAGCCCGGTTTCTTGCAGCTGACAACATGGCGCCGTACAATGCCTCCGAGGACCTCATCTGCCCGTCGATGTGTCAGAAGCTGGCGAAGTAGACTTGATCTTGCATTCGCTGACAATGTTGGGCCACTGCGACTGTAATTGGGCTGAGAAGCGAGATGTCAGGAAGTTGAGCCACCCTTCATGAAGAAGTACTTTTCAAACGAGCAGCTCGACTTGTTTAGTTTAGTTCGGCTCGCTACATCTGGGCGAAAGGCACCGATGTGCCTGCTGCTACTTGCACAGGCCCAGTCCAAGCATCGACAGCCGACAGCTCTGCATGTCGAAATCAGTGTTACCTCAATCCCTTCTCATCACTAGTGACGCACATGTACATTGCGAAGCAAGTGCAGCCAGAGGACAGCAGAACAGAAAACAACGCACAACGCTCCCAAAAACAACGCGCAAAGCCACGACAGTGTGGTGCAAGGCGACGCATTTCGTAAAGGGATGCCGTGCAGCGAAGGCGGCTTAGCGGCTAGCTGCTTTCATGCTCCAACCCAGGTTTATGATGAAGTATGAGCCCTTAGCAGCGGCGAAGCGCAGGCGGGGCAGATGCCAGGTTGCTGGAGGGGGGAACATGTTTTCATTCCAGTGACACTACGGCAGCCCAAAAAATAGTCATGTCACGTAGTAGGGCTCTAGAAGCCGCTTCCACTTTTCGAACTGGCTGCTCGGACACTTGATGCTTGATGACTTTGGTAGGCAGTTTCAACTTGGTCCCTTGCAGTATGTGGTGGTGCCAGCCTGACAGTTTTCGATCCGTCCATCATCTTGGCAGGTTGGATGAAGACAAGAACGACGCGGAAGCGCAGAAGATGTACGACACATACTTTCCCATGTACAAGATGCATGGCAGGAAGGGGTGGAGGTGCTTAGGACGGTTTGTCCTTGGGTCAATTTGGCCGATGAGAAGTTTTCGCTGAGGGAGCGCTGCAGGAGAATGCTTTCCAGCACAACCAAGCGACTGAGGAATTATGACTGGTGCAGCTCTTGGGATGGCACGAAGTACGACTTGGTCTTCTACGGAGTGTCGGGCTACACTGGCTATCTGTGCCTCGGGTTGCAGTTCAGGCTCCTCGGGATGGGACCAGAAGCAAAGGACGCAGGTGTCCCTGCCATGATTCAATGCACACTGAAATCTGGAAAAGTTAATCTTGGGGACATCAGCACCGATTTGGCGTGTGGCATCAGGTCAGGAGTGGCAAATCGAAGCAAGAAGTACTCTCGCCCCACCCTAGCATGTTGCTTGTCGTGCAAGGATGATGGAGTACCTCAAGCGCGTGTCACTGAAGCGTCGCTCGGTGCACCAATTAAGCCAAACCATGTGCATCCACCGGCCCAAAGACTTTCGTCAGCTGTTTGACTGACATGCCTTTTGCCAAGAAAGCGCGGAAGACTTCACGTTCGCGTTTGCTGGGCGAACACCTGGTAAAGTGCATCTCGGCTCTACTTCTGGCAGAAGCAGTGCAGCCTGCGAACAACAACATGCGAGCCATCAGAGCGCAAAGGGAGCCTCACTGGGCGAGCAGGCTAGACTAGTTCACAGTGTTGTCTGTAGTCAGCTTCGAGGCAGGATTTGCGCGATCGTGAATTCGCGGGGACTCCCTATGAGGTGCGCAGCAGTCAATTCAGAAACCGCCATTTTTGCAAGTTGCACGGCTGCGGGCTTCGAAGCGCGTGATTCAGGACACCCCGGTCTTTCAGATGTCCTACGATGACCCGTACTCCATGATCGACCTCGTCAAGAGTGCCAGGTGCATCATTAACGTCGCAGGGCCTTACATGCTCACTCAGGGTGAGCTGATGATCGATGCCTGCATATCCATGGGATCCTTGACTCGGTTCATGGGGCAGTCGGGGCAGTGTTTGTTAATGTCTGTTGCACGCTGTCTCCACCTGAGTCCACCTTAGAATAGACGGCGCATGGCCCTTCAAGGAGTGCACTACTGCGACATCAGTGGAGAGATCCCGTGGTCCCGCAGAATTACGCCTCTGCATAAGCACGCCCAGAAAAACGGTGCCTACATCATCCCCAGTGCAGCCTCTGCCGGTGGCTTCCCGGACCTTTGCACCTACCTCTGTGCCAAGAAAGCTCGGGAGGACTACAACGAGGAGTTGAGGAAGGCCATTTGCTACGTGAATGGCGGCGGTGCAATTGCTACGGCCTCCGGAGGTACGCTGAAGACTCGTGCCACGATGGCTGCTGGTGGTGACGAGACCCGAAAAATGATGGGCGACCCCTACGCTCTTGGCGGCTTTGTGCCAGACCGGGACCGCCACGGCATCAAGTACTGCAACATCGAGTTTGGGACAGGCTCGGTTACGACCAAGGTGCGTGCCGAGGACTTGGATGCCAACATGTCCAAGATCTCGGTGGCCCGGACAGCTTCAGCAATCATTTTTGCTGATGTGTGAGAGTGCACCCGGCATGCAATCTCCTCAGCGGATGCTGTAGGAAGACAAGCACTTGGGCATCTGGCGCGGGCCCAACGTGTGGCTTGGCGCTGAAGCCTCCGTTCTGAGATTCTGAGATCACTCAGCACGCGAAACACGAAGAGAATGTACGTGCAAGGAACCACAGAATGTTTTGTACCCCCTGTCTCGGAGAGAGCCGAGACTCCTTTTGCAAGGGCTTTGTGCAGTTCTGTGGCAGCCGGCGCCTTGCGGCTTTATTGCCTCGTTGGGCTGAGGTATTCATATTTCGATACACGCATCGTTCGCCGGTCCAACATGCTCCTGGCGGACATGGGCGGCAAGCCTTACGGCAAGAGCTTGAACTTCCTGCAGTTCTCAGTCCTCCCAGCAGACGCTTGCTGGCATTGCCAAGCCAAAGAAGAGCGTCCACCTGAAGGCTGATTTTCCCGACTTGTGTCCATCCGAGGAGATGCTTCTCCAGGGCAAGCAGGGAGGTGGAGGCATCAGCTGCAGTGAAGCTTGCAATTTAGGTCAGTGTGCTGATGCATCCAAGCATTGGCAGTTGGCAGTGCGTGCGACAGGAGGCGGCGGCGGTGGCGGCAGCGTGGAGGCAGAGAAGAAGGCGTTGGAAGCCAAAGGTGGCTTTCCTGATAAGTCGCGGCGTTTGTCCTCCACATGAAAGTGCAATACAAGTCGTATACAGGACGTGCCGAACCTATCCGGACCTGAAGAGTCTAAGTTGAATCAGGAGGCGAAGTGGTCAATCAATAGAGTAATAGGTTCTATGTAGGCTTGCAAGTAGGCTGAGGCAGTCTTTAAGTGTTCAAAGAGGAGTACAGCTTCTCGAGTCCCATGCCTCGGAACTGCTCAGGTGTTTACTACGGAGCGGGCGAGGGGCCACCCCTTGAGGAGCTGCTCCGTCGCAGCCGCAAGGGCTTCGCATAGCCTCAAACCATTGGCACCTTTTGAATAGAGGTTGGGTTCTTGCTTGCGACTCTCCGACACAGAATCGAAGGCTCAGGATCTCTTGCGAAGGCGGGAGCAGGTAGGAGAGGTAGCTGGCCGCACTTGCCATAAGAGAAGGAACACATCGCAGTAGTTTTTGTTGCTGACGGCCACGACACACTATGCTCAGCGAGCCTATTATCGGAACGGCAAAGCATAGGGTTCAGGTAAGCTCAGTTAGTCATACTCACTGAGGCTTGATGATGCGTGGAGTGCGTGGTTTGTCTGGGCACAGACAGAGAAGGGCCATGAGGCACTGAGCTGTAGTGGATGCTACACCATGTTGTCCAGCAGTGCTGAATGACGTTTTCCAATCCGCCAAATCGTGTACTGTTAAGAGCTGGTGCGACCGGCCCCTGTGAAAGCTGAATGTACGGCTGGCGAGGTGAGGTGCGACTTCATTGGCCGAGACGGCTACTTTGAGACAGCACGAATCGCGGTGGAAACTGCAACTTGGCTGGAGACTTGTGCATTCACATCTGCGAAGGTAGCGCTTTTGTTGCTGTTTAGCTGCAGCTCTTGCGAAATGTTCTCGACTCTGCAGGCGATGTGCTTGGTTTTCGACAGAGAGGCGCGGTTTACTTGGTCCCGAAAGTCCGCATTGTTGACCTGGGCAATGTGCTGGGTGGCTCAATGCAATGTGCTTGGTGTCTCAATCTAGCCGTCCCGCGAGTAGTGCGTGCTGCAGCCCGTAAGTTCGAACACGACCAAGCCGCAACCGTTTCTCCTCGACCGAGCGATTACGAGTTTCTTGAAGCTTGATGCCGGTGAAAAGAAATGTATGAGAAGAACTCGCACGGCTCTGAGATTGTGCGCGGACCCCGACGCTCAACCACGAGTGCAGTGACGGAAATGACGGACCGGCGTGATTTGGGTAGTCCGCAATTGGCCCCTCGGTGGTAGCTGAATGCCCTCGACTGCTGCTTCAGCCTTTCACGTCCATGTGATGTTTCTGATGCAGCCACAGACGGGATCCTGCCGGACCAAAAAATGACATTGTTCGAACACGGGAATCTGAGCTCTAGAATGACTCGGGAGATGTTGGAACTTTGTCGTTGGACCTTGAGAGGCTCTGCCCTTCAGGGGTGGCGTGCTCACCCCGGCCGTAGCCTGCGGCGAAGCCCTGGCTCAGCGCCTGATCAATAGCCCGGGCCCTGAAGTTGAGAGCAACGGTGCGTTTTGAGGGGAAGGTGGGCTCTGGGACTCTTGGGGTTTGGGTCATCCACCGTCGCGACCTGATGGGCTTCGTGCAAGTTTTTGCAGCCCTTCTAGGCTTGACAGCCCCCCCATGCCCACTGGCACCGACCCAGGCGGCGTCAAGTTCTCGATGGGTAAATGGCACGATGTCTCAGAGCTGAGAGCTTAGAAGCTTCGGTGCAGCCTCAGCACAAGCTTGTTCAATGAAATTGCCACTTCCGTTCCAAGGTTCAATCCACCACCCAATCCGTAAAGCTGAAAATCAGACTGTGGCCACAGAAGACCGGTGGTTATGCAGGAGCCACCCAGCATGTTCTGCATGAGCAGGTTCGTAGAGGTTCCTTGTAAGGGCCTGGCATGGAGTACGGTGCAAACTTTGCTCTAGCCGCATGTAAGGATCACCATTTAGGCAGGGCCGCAACGCCATGCATTTGTAGCCTTCTGCTGGCAGATATCTTTCATATTCGCAGGATGGCATCTCCAACTACCCCTGAGAGAGCTTGGTCGAAATGCACAAGAAACGCTATTCTTCCTTTTGTTGTCGCACGTTTGAGTTGAAGCTACGGATGACTAGAACAGATATCGCTTGAGAGAGCCCTTGCGAGCGACTGCAATTTGCGGCACTGCTCACGGCACAGCAGGCATTGTTTTCAACATCTGAAAGCAACAGCGTGCTGCCCTAGCTTTATCATATCGAGCATTGTTGCGGAAGCTGACCGTCAATGCAATGGCAGTGCCTGCGATTCTGTGAGCTTGCACGGTCCTGGCAATGGTTCTGCTTTGCATCTGTCAGCATGGCTGCAAAAAAGCTACGTGCGCAGGGTTCGGTATCCCTTCTGGTTTCCCGCGGGTTCAGTTGAATAGGCTTGTGTTCGAAACTCTGCATGTTCAGTGAATGCACATGAATCATTCAGATGACTGGAACCCACACCTGCCACGGAAGGGATGGTGCATGACTGCTGCCTAGCCAGGCACACGCCAAGCTGCGCGTTGACGACTTCCGAGACGATGCGGCACGGGAAGAGCCAGGATCCTGGTCAGCAGTGCAACAAGTCGATACGAGTGGGAGCTGAGAGCTGGATCTGGGTGCCTTTTCGGAGCTTGTGGGGGCTCCCGATGTTTGGAGCGTAGCAAATAGCCTCGTCCGAGAACCCCAGCGCTGATGTGCGTGTCATGCGACAACAAAGCCGGGACCTCTTGGATATTATGAAACTGCCAACGTTTAAGCTGACAAGGGGTTAAGCATAGCGCGAACACATGCAAACTACGGAAGCATGGGCCAAATATTCAAAGAATAGATATACAAGATGCACAACCGTACATAAAACATAGTCAGCATGCATAGGTATCCATCTATCTCTGTATCTGTCTGTCTATCTATCTGTCTGTCTGTCAGTCTGCCTGTCCGTCTGCCAATCTATCTCTATCTATCTATCTATCTATCTATGTATGAATCTATCGATCTGTGTACCGTACCTATCTACTTATCTACCTACTTATCTATCTACCCACTTATCTACATACTTATTTATCTAGCTATCTATCTATCTATCTATCTATCTACTTACCTATCATCTAGCCGTATCTAGCTGTCTAGCCGAAGCTAAGCTATCTAGCTACCATCTGTCTAACAGTCTATATCTCTCTATATATATATATATATTTATATACATACATACATACATACACAAATACATGCACATACATATCTACCGCTCTCTCTCTCTCTCTCTCTCTCTCTCTCTCTCCCTCCTTCCCGTCCTCTGAACATGTTACTATACCTCTTTTTGGCGACAAATGATATGGAAGGCCACGATTGTCTGACGTTTCGTGAGCTCTGCGGGAGCTTACTCCGTGAAAGTGCCCTGGAGCACAGTAGCAATCCAAGGATTAATGCTGGAGCGGGTGCTTGCATAGATACCGATGGCTGACGACCTCCAGTCTCCATGTTCGTGTAGAAGTGGGATAAGGACGTGCAGAGACACTGCCGCAACTTTGGAGCAAGTGCCATCCGTTTTGCAAGACGACATGGTGTAGTTTGACAGGGTGTAGGAAGCCATGAAGGCGTCGTGCAGGAATCTCAATCTCAAGCAAAATTCGGAAAGTAAGATCGGGAAAGGAATTTGTTCAGAACGACGGAGTAGTTCAAGGTTTTGCCCTTGTAAGTCCTGTGAGGTTCAACCTGGAGCTCGATGTTCGCAGCTGAGAGCTTCCTTGCGAGTAGTGCGCCTTAGTCGCTCAACGGACTCAACGGCCCACGCTCAAAGCCCTAGCAGCCTTGGTTGCGGCCGAACTCATCTGGATCTTTTCTGACGCGAGCATTTCTGACCATCTGACAGTGGACAGACAGTGTTCCGAAACCCCCAGGAACACCTGGTCCAGAGGTGGCGTCATTTGGCATCGAAGGCTGATGCGAGCTGGGGCCTTTGTGTTCAAAGGTGGCTCCGCCGTTCTCGGCTGTCTGCTTGCTGCCTCCATGGCTCTAACCAAGCAATATCAGCGTCGTCCATCCAAAAGCATGCAGCAAATTGAACGGTTCGTGGCTTTCAGGACAAAATGGTGCACACCAAAGTGGCTCGCTGATGTCTTGGCCCTGAGCTCAGGGCTCGCACTGCCCACGGCCGAAGCGGGTACTCTTGCCCTCGCGTGCGTTGATTTGGCAGCCTCAGCATCCCTTGCCAACACTGCGGCTGCCGCTACATGCCCTGTCGAGGACAGGTGCTTGGCTTCTCGCTTGCGTAGTTTCAGGACGGAGTGCTCGGGCAACAGCCTGCCCCCGGTGATTCGATCCCTCAAGCCCTGGATCGTCACCTCCGTGCAAGGTGGATGGTGGTGTACAAGTGGGTCGCCGTCCGGAGCAAGCCTTCACTTGAGGCCTCGAGCCCAGCTCTTGAGGAATCCGAGCAGTCTGTCAGCCGCGTTGATTCCATGCTCAGGGCCAGATCCTCACGTGCCTTGCTCGAGGGGACCCGGTTTTCTGCGCCCGAAACCCAGCTGTTTGAGTGATTTCTGCCCGTTCCAGCCCATGAGGGTCGTGTGCAGCCGCATCGACTAGAGCATGCGAGACTAGGTCATTTTGTATGCTTTGACCAAAACGTTCCCCGCGCTTGTCTGGGTGCATGAGAATGTCCGAACCCTGGGCCGCGCTGGATACGGAGGTCACTATGGAGGGCCCGTGGGCCCTGGCTTCAGCGTCTATTGGGCCGCTGTGGTTGTTTTCCTCGGGAGAGGTTGCCGATTGCAGGCTTGGGATGATTGACACTCGCTTCGGTTTCGGAGCGACCACAAGCTGGTCGATGTACCCCCAAGTCGAAGCAGACACATCCGCGCCACCCGAGGTCAAGATCAGCTTGGACAAAGAGCCTCCGCTCCCACCCGCAGGTGGAGTTTTCCTCACCAGAAGCTTTCGGCATGAAGCCGTTGAGTCCACCAAATTTCAGATTGGCAAGCATGAAATCAAAACGCCCTTTCTGACGGCAGGTTTAGACATATGTATGTGAAAGCAGATCTGAATGTCATCGCGCCATATCGGCGTCTCTTGGGTTTAGCCTGCCCCAGGTGGGGATCTGATCCCGAGCCGGAGAAGGCCATCTGTTGTGCTGCTCAGGGTGATGCACTGGCGTGTTTGTTGAGGCATCCGTGCTACGTATCATCGATTCGCGTTTTTTTTCTGTAGCTGCATGTGTGTTCTTGCTATGGCTGCGTTCCGCAGTTGCGTCTACTGCTACCTTGCTTGTCTGTGCGGCAGAGGTTCTACCAAGCAGTAAGAAAGTCTGATGCACGTTGTGCTTGCTTTTCTTGTGCGGCGGCTGTGCGAAAATCGGATCAGTTCATGAGTATGATAAAACGGTTGTAATTGACCAGGGCGACTGGTAGTGTGATGAGCATCATCTCTAATGTACCTGCTGTGCCCTCGGTATCATCCACTTTGCTGTCGGAAAGTGGTGCACTGCATTTCAGTTCAGTTGCGTATGCAAGATGAAAATCCATCGAATGATCGTCCAGTATTCCGTACAGCTAAGAACAGTCCTCGTCATCATCATCATCATCATAACAACAAAGTAACAGTAGTAGAATAGTAGCAGCAATAGTTTCACGAACAATAACAGTATCAACCCTTCTGTTCCCTGGACCAGAAGCCGCTCCTTTCTCGGCTCGAAGCGATGCTCGCCCCCGCCAGCCTCACGGTGGCACCGGCCTACGGCCCAGGTTCGGATTCCCCATGAAGCCGCACACTACAAGACTGCACATACTGTTTTTATATTAATATTAATATTAATATTAACATTAATATATTCAATCTAATCTATCCTAATACTTATAATGTAGCAAAATACTGTGGATACAATGTCATCCCATCTGCTTGAGGGGTTGCAGGCTTTGCAGAAGGGCTTAGAAGATGATCATGGAAGCCCTCCAGGGAGTTGTTTCTGATTTCTCGGATGGTGCTGCCCGGTCAGTCCACGGCCTTGAAAACGCCGCGAACACCAGCCAGCATCGGATGGGATTTAAAACTGTTGCCGGTGTCATCTTCGACGTGTCGGGAAGCCACCGCAATCTTGATTTCGCTTGAAGGCAAGAAGGCCTCTGGAAGTGTCGAGCACGTCTTTTTACCCAGAACTTCAACTAAGCCAACAAGCCCCCAACAAGAGCTCAGAGGAAGGTATAGCCTAGTAAACCATTCAGCTTCGCAGGCTCTCTTCGAGTTCGGCACAATTCCCCAGATGCCTGCTCCATGCTTCGTGCCCTGGCTGCTTTTCCGGAGGGCTTTGAGATGGTGGACTCGTGCATCTCTGTCGCTCTGCAGGCTTATCGCTGTCTGCATGGTGTGCCGTTAGGGCCTCGGCGAGCCTCTTCACCTAACATCTAGCGCCACTGCTTGCTCTACCAGCATGTTGGAGCTCCTCTGTTTCTGAGGGCCAGATGTCCCGAAGCTGCCGGCTGACACGTGGCGTGCCTTCGAGGCAGAGCGGAAAACGAGAGAACGAGACGTCCGGGATGCCTTGATTGCCGAGTTTGCAGGAGTCGCACAGCAGCCTTTGCTTCATCTGAAGCCCAGGCTCGGAACTGGGGCCTGTCAGCGGTTCTGTGTGGGCCTGGCCATGCGTCAGGAGTCCAGGCCCTCACCGTCTTCCATCTACTTCCTAGCATCTTGGAAGAAGTGGGATGCAATGATTTGGGTGCCGACCAGTCTCAAAACTGTCAACTGACCCCTGGACTGTGAAGCCACGTTCGTGGTCGCTGGTAGAAGCAGAGGCAGCTACGGCCCAGTTGCAGCCAGCCCAGAAATCAGGTACACCACAACTTCTGTGACCACTTACTCTTCTTTGAGGCGCTTCGGGCAGCCTCGCCTCGCAGTACAGCTGGAAATGATGTGTGTGAGTGACCTAGGCGAAGCCTAAGCACAAAAGAGCAGCTCCGCAACACGGCTCTCTCCAGACCTGAAGCCGTGGAGGCCCAAGAGTGGTGCCGAATGACTGTTGAACAAGTCTGCCGCAGTTAGACCCATCGTGACCCCTGCTGTAGGATTGTAAGATATTGTGAGGTATCGGCCACATCCTGTTTCGACCTGCGTGCCTTGCGCCATGGCGAGAAGAGAGGCAGAGGTGAGCGACGTCGGGGACCTTGAGCCGATCAAGTTGGAATGGACGCCCAAGGCGGTGCCACCAGAGAAGCTTGACCGGGGAGCTCCACGGCCGCCAACACCCGATTTTCTGAAAAACCTGAGCTTCGAGATGGTTGGTGGCGGCGGCGATGCGCCATCTCCATCACGCTGTGACCCACCCACACAACCAGCGCAGGAGCCACAGCCGCAGGACCCTTCTGATCCTCCAGATGACAAGGATGCCGTCCCAGCAAGCCAAGCTGACAGGCGCCAGGAGGCTCAGAGAGCAAAGGAAGAGGACAGGAGACAGAGGCTGATCTCCGAGGTATCAAGGATATCAAGGATCTCTGGAACCGACGCTTCGAACTTCATGCGAATGCTCGAGTTGAACGTGGGCTACACAATGAAAGAGCTGGATCAGAGAAAACGAGCTTTGGTGCTTTTGTTGCACCCCGACAAAGCCGGCACCCTTGCGCAGGATGCAGCTTTGGAGGCGCAGGCTCGACGCGCCTACGATGCGGTGTGCAACGCGTACGAGGCGGCCAAGAACCAGCTGTCGTGGCAAAGCCCAGCACCGAGCGGTCCCCATGCTGGTCCGCCTTGTTCACAACCGCCTCCATCGCAGAGCTTCAGGTATAGATTCAGATGCGCGCACTTGGGATGTTCCTACTTCGTCACCATAGAAGAATTCGGGGGGTTCTGTTGCAAGAAATGCCACGCAGCCTTCCTCCATGGAAGCCCGAGCCAGCACGGTACCAGATGCCACCGGCGCATCGCTGAGAACAGCGTCCCCAGAGCAGACCCTGTCGCTCCTGCGCATCCGTTGGTCTGAGTCTATGACCGCATGGCGCTGCATGGTCGACATGCTGCAAGTGGAACACAGGAACCAGCAGGACTGGATTGCTCTGAATGCTGGGTACTGGTGCTTCCTGCGCACAGCTCTCTGTTTTGATAATGCTCAGCCTTTGTCATGTTTCTACACGTGAAGGCGCTACGCATGGTGGCTGGTTGTCCAGTCTCCAGCGCTGGAATTGCTACCTGCAGCTTTACATAGTAATAGCCGTCAGCACGCGCGTCGTGCATTGCTCAGGAAAAGGCTTTTCTTGACCACAGCGAAATTGCAAACCCAGCTCCTAGAACGATTTCGGAGGAGGGCCTTTACACCGGGGTGTAAAACCCGAGCCGGTACCTGTAAGATCAATGAGTCTTTGAGAGTCCGGGGAGTCTTGAACAGATGCTGACCGATGCATGCCAAGCCCATGGACTTCGCCTAGCTGATAGGCCTCTCGATCCCTATAGTCTTCTGCGAGAGCTGGCAGTGTCCCTTAAATCCGCCAAAGAATTCGAAGAGAGGTGGGATCTCCTTGGGACTCTAAGCAGAGGACGGCTCCTTCCGCCACGGCTCGGCAGTGGCCGGTGCCCACACCTCTGGGCGCTGGGAGCTCCAGGAGCCCCCGGGGAGCCTTTCAGGGCCAGGGCTCGGGGGTTTCGGAGTCGGCTTACATTTTGGTGGCTTTTTGAGGTGGGCGCCTATAAATCTCTGCTTGTTGCCAACATGTGTGTCAATCTTGGCCGCCATTTTTTTTTTTTGGGGGGGGGGGGTGCTTGAGCTTTCTGTCATGGGCGCAGCGGTGTAACTTGGATGCCGACCTCGGGCTCAGGGACCGAAGTGCAGGTGGGTTCAACTTACGGTCTAGTTACGCAGAGCGGTGCGATTGACAAGCCAGAAACGTTAGCCATTTACGTAGCGTCACACTTGGTGTGTTACTGCTGCGTAATTCTGTCGTGTTTCTGCCCCCATCCCACCTCGTTAAACACAAGATCGGATGGTGAGGGGCGGGATTCCCTTGCGCCTTCCCGCAATGGCACGGTCCAGGGGCTTGACCCTGGCTTTGGTGCTGGCACTGCTGCTCGACTCAGCTCTCAGCGTGCAGGACGCAGGCTATTGTAAGACGGGCAATGCTTAGGTTCTTCGCACGGGGAGCCCTCGAGAACTTTGCAGTGCCACCGCAGCTTGGCTGGATTTACGACAGCACAAGTGCGCCGTTCTCGAGCTGCATACGCCTTGCAGGCAGCAGCGGGCCCTCGTCACAGGCTCACCGGCAAATTGTCTGCATGCCAAGCTTAGGCTTCGCCAGATCAGAGGGGGGCACAGATTCTCTGCGTCGATACGTTGTTACCGAGCCGCTAGTCCCTGGCACAGCAGCAACAATTGACAACTCGCACTGTTGTATTAGTTTGTATTGAACGAATATGATGAGGCCTCGTTGCGGGGGCCGAGCGCGATTATCTGATCAATCCACGGGGCATCACGGGGCCAGAGCTTGCAGATTGCTCTTCGGAGATGGTGCTGCAGAAAGCTTGCAAAGCATGCGTGGAGGGCTTCCGTCGACCCCTGGAGCCAGGTGCCTCAGGCTTTCTTGGCCGTGAGCTCTGCTGCCAGCTTCTCGAGGCCGAATCCCTTTCCTGTATTGGGTTTTACCTTGTGTTGGGGTCTGAACTTAGACTCTACGAGCAGCGAAATGAGAGAGCGTAAACCTGTCTCCAGTTCTATCGTGCTTCTAAAGGGTTCCTCGGTCTGGGAAGAAGGAACTGAGCTCTAGTGCGGACCTGGATAGCCCGAATGAAGGACAGATGCTGGAGTCGATTGGCTAGAGCAAGCTGTGTGATGCCTAGCCCAGTCTGGCTTACGTTGCATGAACCTCTTCGAATTCGAACTTGGAGCTTCGTTGATTCGGTTCTCTCAGGAGTGGTAAACCTTTCTGGTTGTGGGAGGTTCCCGATGTTCCGCACTGCTATCGCAGACTACCGGCCTCTGCACAACAGTTTCCATGATGCACAACAACAGAGACTGGATCTTTCGCCTGAGCACTTCGACATGTCCTTGCCAGCGCAGCACGAGGCCGGCTGGCACGTAACGGCTCTGGTCCACGACGCCTGGGCATCGGCATTCCGTAGAGCTTGGGGACAGCTCTGTTCGAAGATCGCAGCATGTTGCACATTCTAGTTAACTATGATATTGCAGGATATTCTCCTACGCTGTGCTGTGCTGTGCTGTGCTGTACCTTTTTTCTGTGGCATCGTATGCCGTATACTTACTTACTATACTATACAGAAACATCCGTCCCTGCTTGGATGAGCAGCGAGGCCTCCTCGGAGCGCACGGAGGTCCTTAAGGCGCCGCGCTGGGCCCCTTTTCTCCTGGGTCCGATGAGCTGGCATGGGCTTAGCCCCCCCAGTCGTCCTTGGGGAGCCCCTATTTCAGCTGTTGAGCTCTCTCTCCCAATGGCTCCGGGTTTCGCAAGGAGTTGGCCGCCTCTATCTCACCGCAATTCCAGACGGTGGAGCAGCTCGCCCAAAAGTGAGTAAGCAGGCATTCTGCACAGTCCATTGCACTGAGCATGAGCACCGTGGCATCTTGTCTCCGTCCCGGCCTCCCATGCGAGGCTCGATCTGCTCGATGAGGCCGCATTCGTGTCGCTGCTGAAGGATGGCAGGCGAGATGGGGACGTGGGCGGTCAGGCAGCGGAACGTGCAGCTTTCTTACATGTGACAAGGCCGTGCTTGAACTTCTTTGAACAGATGCTAGCACAGGCCGGCGTTAGATAGGCATGCATCTCAGGCCGAGTGTGGTGTTCCACCTGGCCGGTATCTTCCGTCGCGTCCCTGATCCAGCCAAGGAGCCTCAAACAAGCATTTTCAGAGAGAGAGAGAGAGAGAGGCACCTGCTCCGCTCACAGCACACCACCACTGGCACAGGAACCCGATCATGTGTTGCGTTCCCCTATCGCTTGCGTATACCCTGCCCCCCTTGCTTCATCAGGGGACCTGTGCCGCAAACAAGCAAACTAACTACAAACCGAGCTGAACACACTCTCAAAACACAATAGGGGGCCCCAGCCAAAGTGTACCTTAGTGAATGCGTACGGCAAGGATTGTGTTCTGTTTGGAATGCAGGCTGTGTTCATCGTCATTGCTTGCCATATAGGGGACCCCGTTGGAGCGACAACTCTCGGCAAAAGCCGGGAGGCAAGCGAGGTGCACAGCACAAAGGGGAGTCCAGCACAAGCGGCACGAACTAGGCTGGGACAGCTGCACGGGGTTAGCTTGCTTGTGTGCTCATCGGGGCTTCGTCGTGGCCGCTGTGCACTCCCCAAGTCTCACACAGACTGCAAAGACACAGGACAGTGGCG